TCGTCTCTCTCTCTCTCTCTCTCTCTCTCTCTCTCTCATCGTCATCACGCTCGCGGGACTTCATTACTTAGCGTGACTCCTCAAGGGGGCCCGACTCGCAACGACGTAAATATCAATCGCGCCGATGCCTCCGCGTTAACCCTCTCCCTCTTCCCCTCCCCCCCCCCCCTCCGCGCGCGATAACGATTCCCGACCCGCTACGCCTGCTCGCGGTGAAAGTCTCACTTTTATATAGGTAGGCCGGTAGACGAAGTCGATTGCGTAATAATATTTAATATTTTTCTCCTCGAAGTTCGCGGGGACGGATAAAGGATAAATTATACGTTAGATGCGCGCTTATCGGCGGATAAACGGACGGCCAAATTAGAGCGTTCGGCGAGCCGTTAGCGATACGCGAAACTCGTTCCGCGCGAGGTAAACGTCCGACAGCCGGTCGGATAATCTGGAACGAGGAACGTTTCGGGGCTTGCACTTTCCTTATGCGCTCGAAAGGTCAAGCCGATGCACCTGCGCACCGCTCAAATCCCGCAACAATAGGCTCCCCCCTTCCCCGTTTTTATCCTCCCCCCCCTCCGTTCCGCCGCACCGCCCCCCCCGTCGCTCCCGATGAAGAGATTAATAACGTTTCGCCCGGAATATTCTCAGGAGAAAGTACCCGGCGAGGGGGATTTAGATTCTATTCCGACATGTCGAGGTCGCCTGGGTCATATCCCAGTCGAAACATCACGGCGATCGGCTTCCCGCGCACGTCCTCCGCACGCGGAACACGCGACTCTGGCGCGTTCTTCCGCCCGGGTCGAAATGTTGTTTCCGACTTTTGATTTCGCCGCGTTCACCGCGTGTTCGCTTAAGCAAACTCTTCCGCCTACGTGTCCCGATACCGGTTCATGTGGGCCATTAGCCCGTAGCACTTCAGCGCCCTGCGATTACGTCACGTGAGAAACCGGGATGGCCGTATCAAAAATTTTCAAAACTAGAATTGACGAGTCAAAAAAATGGACGACTCTATACAAAACTCTTGGAGACTCTACACAGAAATTTTGATGACTTTTTATGATTTTTCTGCAAAAAAAAAAAAGATCGTAAAATGCTTCAAAATACTTAGAAAATTACCCAAAATTACCTCAGACTTCTGTTTTCGGACGTGCTAAAAAAAGAGGAGAGGTGTCTGGAGGGAAGAGGACGGGAAGAGAGGGCAACACTATGTGAAGCGAAATGGAGCGAAATAAGAGATCGGGAGCGATGAAACGTGTGCCGCTCTACTTAAAAAAAAAAAAAAAAAATAGATAATCATCGGTAGAAACGATTCAATTATTTCATTTGCTAATGGGACATGGACCCGATTCCACGGCGGGCGGGAGGTAAGGCTCGATCTTGTCGCAGCGGCTGACGGTTACCGTTGGAACTTTTCTCCAACTTTCGCGTTCCGCGGGCGATAATATCGCTAATGCGATAATTAAAGCGCACGTCGGCGCGGTCGAGAAGGTGGGCGGAGAGAAGGCGAGCGTGGCACACGAGATTCGAATGCCTGTAGAATCGTGGTAGCGCAATGCCATTCATGCACCCGTCCGCCCGCCCGGCCTCCCGCTCGTTCCCCGGTTTCGCTCCCTTCTTCCTCTTCTTCGTCGTCTTTTTCGCCGAACCGGTAACTGGAACCAGCGCACTCGCGGCGTTAAAGCATCCCGTGGGCCGTGTTCCCATCATTGTTTCGAGCCGAACGTAAAACATTCGTGATTCAACGACGCCGTCGAAAACACGCTGGAAGAAAGTACACGTGAAGTTTCGAGCGGAAAGGTGAAGGAGAAGGAAGGAGTGAAGGTGAAGGTGGAAGGGATTTTAGGATTCTCTGATTTTTATCACTTGCACGAACAGACGACTTTGGGCATTCAACATTTATGTTTTGTAGTACTTGTTGCTCGATTAATTCAATTGTGCCGTAGCGAAAAGATTTGTCGGATGCAGAAAGTAGATTAGCAGATTTAGAGATGTGTTACATCTCTAATTTTATAATTTTTTTTTCATATTTATAATAAAACAATTATGATAAACTTATATTAATTATGATAGATTGTTCTAGATCATAATTAAAAATAAAACAAAAATTTAACGGATGTTTGAAATTTGGTTTGGTAATTATTTAAATAAATAAGTAGAAGTGAACTCTAATACGATACATACTATAAAATACATACATATAGAATATACATACTATACTAAAATAATAATAAATCAGAGATTAGTTTTTCTGTAAATAAAAATTGAATCTTATTTGTTTTTTCTTCACTCGTTTCGTTTGTATTCTTAATAAAAATTTAATTTTTATTTACAGCACAATTAATCTCTGCATCGCAAAAAACTTTAACATAAATCATATTACATTTAAAATATTTTTTAGAATAAGTACTTGTATAAAAAAATTTGTATCATTATTTCTTAATTACATTTCTGTTAAAGCACATTTTTACTTTATATTTAAATAATTTTTGAGATTGTTCTAGATCGTCGTAAAATTTTGCATTTCATTTTTAAATACAATCTAGAAAGATTTGCAATTTTTTCATTGTAAATATTCTGTTTTTTTATTGTATATATCCTGTTATGTCGACGGTGTAAGGGTACAAAAGCACAAAGGTTTGAAATGTTAATGTCACAATTG